TTCTTTCTGGTATTGGGATTAAGTATGGGGCTGAAGTTGATGGTTGGTCGGTTGGATCAGAGATTGATCCTTGGTCAGCCCGAGATGTTGATGCTGTTTGTAGAGTGGTAGCAGAGAGAGGAGATAGGCTCTTCTTCTTTCTTTTTGGGACGTCGGGCAGTGTGGATTTATATGTCGGAATAAAGTTCAGAATCAGAGGTGCTTTTCTTTTGTGGACAGGCAAGTCAAGGAGCTTTTTCAGGTCCTTGCTAAGAACATAAGATTGGCGAAAGTCTTTCGCTGGCTTGCGAACGTCTGCAAGAAGAAACAGACATTAGAAACAGATAAAGTATTGAAGACTTGAAAAGAAATTACTAAGTAAATAACACTGGGCTCTTACCCTTGCCCTCTTTAACTGTTCGAGGAAGAGGGTATAGATGGGCATCTTCGTCTGGGGCAAATTCCCAATTTCCAGAGACAATGAAGTAGTCATCTCCAGCCCCCTTGTTGGAGTCTGGGAGGTCGGCTACGATTTTGAATTCAGTAGACCTGGGCTTGAGGTAGTAGACGTAACCTTTTTCCTTCAGGCTAAGGGGGCAGATGGTGTAACAATATTGTATGTCGGCTAGGGTGATTCTAACGTTTTCTTGTCTGGCTAAGGCGATGATACCAAAAATCACTCGATAAGAGTTTATGGCAAGTTGCATAGGGTTCAGCCTATAATAATGCAGAATCTTGCGAAAAAGAATGTTAAGTGGAAGCCGAAGTCCACACTCAGTAAAGGCTACAACAGGGAGAGGCATGGTGTTTTCGGTAGGCATGATGGAATCATCATCCCCAGCCAGTTTCAGGTGGACGTCGGCAGGGATGGAGAACTCCCGCCTGAAGTACTCAAGTTTGGCCGGGGTATTTACCCTATGTCTCCACATACCCATAACGTCGGCCTAAAGACAGAAGGTTAGGTTTCGGAAAGAAAGTGCTCTTAAGGGGTTATCGGGACCTCGGCAAAACCCTAGGTATGTACTGGTAAGAATTATTTCAGTTTTCCCTAAAAATTGAAGGTTCTATAAACAAAACCCAAAACCTAAATCTATGAAGGCAAGGATTGAAAGCAAAGATTAAAGGCAGAAATCTGGAAAACAAGAAACAAAGAATGACGTTTCAGAAACGAAGAACAGAGGTATGGTTCTCAAAAGCGAAAGAAATACAGAAGTAAAAGGTCAAGAACAGTGGCAAGAAAAGTATTACAACAGTGCAAGTGTTCAAGATATGAGTAAAATCATGGAATAGACGCATCCAGATGAATAGTTCAGCAAATCAAAGGTTTGAACAGCGCAATAATGGCAGTAAATAAACGAAAGCACATAAAAGAAATTGGGAATAAGAGGAACGGAGGCCTACCAGAACAAATGAAGCCGGAATGAAAGTCGCCGAGGAAAGGCAACGGTTGCAGACAAAGACGGAACGACGAAAGCTTCGCTGGAATGGAAGAATGAAGACAGCTGCAGAGCTTGGAGCTAGAGCAATGGCGGGTTTGAGAAAGTTTAGAGGGAGAGAGAGCCAGAAAATCGAATGCAAAAGTAAAGAGACGAAAAGAAAGGGGGAAAAGTTTTGTTAAAAACTTGAAACGGCGGCAAAAGCAGGGTATTTATTACGCCTGGAGCAACGCACACGTCAGACGGCGCAGATGGATGAAATACAACTTTCAGGCGTATCACAGACACGGGCCAATAAGGATAAAACACGTGAGGAGAACGGTTGAGAAAAGGTGCATGACAGCTCATGCGCATGGAGGAGTTCGTTTGAGTTCTTGTTCTTTGATGAAGGCATGTCGGCCTAAAATGAATGATCTCGGCCGAAGAGTTCTCACGCCGAGGTACTGGAAGAAAATACAGATATAGGTTCCATCACCTCAGAATGCTGAGGTAATAGAACCTAGGGGGCAGTTGTGGGGATGTATTTTCTGAGTACCAACACGTGGCATAGTGACGCCGACGTGTCAGCCGACGTTCCACGTGTCGTGGTAGTTATGCCGAGGTTATCATGGATAGGCCGAGGTTGACTCCGAAGATATCGGAATCCGAGATAAGCGGATAAGGGACAAGAGTCCTAGAATGAAGGGAGAACTCAACTTGGATATGGACAAAAGTCCTAGAGAAAAGAGAAGACTTCTGCTAATGATAAGGATAAAGCTCTTAGGGAGTTTATCTTTATCTCTTGAAGAGTCCAAAGTTGACATTGAATTGGAATCCATAGAAGTCAGACTTCTAGTAAGA